AAGTTAAAATTATAAACTTATAACCATTAACAACATAAGGATTTTATTTTACTAAGAGTATATTGATTTATACTTTATGATTTGCGCAAAAAAGAATCCATTGACTCAAGTTCGATGATAGATACAAAAGAAGAAAAGAACTAGCTGCATTTTGATAAATAAAGTATTAAAATTACTTTATTTTTTTTTAATGTTATAATGGACTCAAATCTCATACTTATCAATCTTTATATAAAAAGATTTTTATAAATTACTTTATTTATTTATTTTTTTTGAATGCTGAGAGTGGACTTGAATCTCATATTTATCAAATTTAATATGAAAAATTTCTTTTATAAAAGAAGTACAATTAAATCATATAAATGTTATTAAAATTACTTTATTAAATCATAACAACAAATTAATTACTATGTTGCATGCATGGTTTATGTCACACCACTTAACAACCTTTTTATTAATTTCAAGCTGATTTATACGAAAATTTAATGGCTACTGGCTGTTGCTGCTTTATCTATTGCCGATGGTTGTTCTAGATTAGTATTAAAGAAATGATAGCAGGATATTTTATAAATATTCCAAAGCCTCTTGATTATTCACTAATCATAACCCCATAATCTATTCACAATTTAAAAACAAAGCAACTTGACAAATTACAAATTAAAATTATATCAGATTGGCAAAACCCACAGCAATGAAATAAACTATTTTAATTAATCGTTTCAAGTTTCCAATTTTATTAATCATGCAACAACAAAGCCAAGATATTCCAACTTTTAATTCAGAGAACACAACAAATATAATTACAAAAACAATCTTATAAAAAAAGAGGATTTTTTTAAATATAGAGACAAACTCAGTAGACTTAAACAGCACAATATACGTAAATTAGGAAAAAATCAGAAGAAAGCTGATCAGCAAGCGACATGATCTTTTTTATCGTAAAAAAGAAGGGGCAAGTTAAGCCCTTGTAACAAGTTTATGAGATGTTGATACACGAAAAGAGAAAATTACTAGTCAATGAAATGTCGTTTAACGTGGTGCTGACTCTTCAAAAGACAAGTAACAAATTGCCAGTAATGACACCTAACAGCAATGAGACAATCTGTTTCAATTATAAAGGTTGCTTTTTTGAGTGGTTTGCTTGGTGGAAGAAGAAAATTAACAGGTGTAGACATGTTAGTTACCCCACTTAAAGTTCTCAACAACTTGGAGTATATACTGAGACGAGCGTGTAGCAAGGTCTGCATCAGTTGTATAAACTAAAGAAATTTGGAATTTGGTTTTGATTCCGCACCTATAGCTGCACCATTATTTCTTTCAGCATTCTAGGTTACCATTCTAAAAAGAAAAACACCAGTCGCTGCCTTAGGTGGGACCTGGGAAGGGGAGCTAATAGATTTAGACGTAGATAAATTTGACTAGGTTTGCAAAGTTGTGCAATTTGTATCACTCGTTACTATTCAATAAATTTGAAATATGATTTGGAATATGATCTAAGAATAAATTAAAAGATCGATGTAAATATTTCAGACACCTCGTGAAAGTCGACCAAAAAAAAAACGACATCCCATTGAAGTTCTCAACCATGTCCTTAACAAGCTCGGCAAAACCTTATTTTGAACCCTCATTTTATTAAATTTGAAGGTTTTAGTCTCTCATTTTATATTATAATATTTTTAACTCTTCACCTTACTAGAGTTATAGGTTTTAATTCATCATCTTATACTATGACATTTTTAACCCCTTACCTATTAAAATTGAAGAAAATAGCCCTCATATATAATATTTTGTTAGTTTTATTAACTGACTATTAAGTTTATTAATTGACTGTCAATTGATTATTAATTATCAAAAACTTTCTTTCAACTAACAAAGTTAACAGAATTAATTTTATAATATTTCATTAATTTTGTTAATTGACTATTAATTGACTGTTAGTTATAAAAATCTACTTTCAGCTAACATAGTTAACAATCAATATAAAATGAGTGTTATTTTTTTTATTTTAATAAATGATAGATTAAAACCTACAAATCTAATAAAATAAAAAATTAAAAATATTATATTATAAAATAATATATTAAAATCTTCCAATTTAATAAAATAAAAAATTAAAAATAGGTTTTCGTCACCGAACTCTGTATCACTTGTTTCAATATAAAGAATTTGAAATTTGATTTCGAGTCCGCACATCCATTGCCCTTTTTTCTGGTGGTAAAATCCAGACACCCAGTTCTGTACCATTATAACTGTTTCTTTTGGCAATTTTTGAAAAAATTTCGTGTAGTCTATTTATTAGACTTTCCATCCTGATTAAGTAAAAGCTTGATTTTTAGTTTTATATTAATAAAACGTTGTAATTAAATTTATTATATATGTATTAAGGTTTTTTAATAAAATCCATAGCATCGTTAATGCAAATTTACATTTAAGATAATAATTAAATTGTCATTATTATTATTATTATTTAATTGCAATTAAATTGTCATTAATCAAACTCAAAAAATTACTTTTTTTTATTATTTTAGATTGTATAAGAAATAATAATTTTGATTTTTTTAATTTATCACTCTTTCATGTTATGTCTCATAATTAGAAGGCAAAATTATACATTAAGTTTTTAAATTTATTTTAGATTTTTTTATTGAATTCTTAAACTTTTATTCAAATAAATAAATTCTTGAATTTGTTGATTTTGGTAATTTAATTATCTTCCTTGCAGTAGAGTTAATATTTATTTGTGTTTTATTTGTGTAAATAAGGTGAATATCTATTATATAGACAATGATATATCAATATTTATTTATATAAACAATGCATAAATAAACATTAAGTTTGTTATAAAAAAGAAGAGCTAAATTATTCAACTTGTAAGCTCTATCAAGTATTTGAGTTTAATTTAAGATATAAATTAAATAAGAATTATAATTTTAAATATTTAATATATATAATTAATTTTTAATATAATTAAATCAAGTTGAATTGAGTTTAATTTACAA